GGACTGATCAAAGAGGCACGAGGATGAACCCCCTGTGACTTACACCACCCAGAAAATAGGAATTTTGACTTCCCTGTAAATTCCTTATCTTGGAATACAGTAAAGGACACATGACTTGTATCCATAGACCATAAGTCATATGCAAGCTACCTTCAGTTGTTTGGACACTGGCAGACAATTTTGCTATGGCAAGACTCCAGGTTTTTAGCAAGCAATAAAAAGAGATCAAAACATCGCTTTTGGGTAATACACCTTCCACCATTCTTTTCATAAGATCTGCAGGTCAGCACACTCCCATTCAAAGCAGTTCTTGGTTGTCTGATTACAAGCAAAGTTATTTACATTATGAAAAAAGCAGTGGAAGGTGTATGACACAAAAGCAATTTTTACCATTTATAATTTTATATCCAATAAATATGGCCTTTATTGTTGATTATACATGGTGGTGGAATACACAGAAGCATGTTTACACGAATGGAAGAATAACATTTAATCTTTGTGCACTGGATTAATTCAACTATTTGGATTAAGGTGGACTTTACTCTTGGAATGTATATGGACTTTATACGTATATAACCTGTGTGATATGTGAATATTGGTTATTTAGCGCAGGTTATTTTTTCTTTTTGTACTTTTTAATTAATATCACAATTGTATAACAGCTGTTATAAGTTTGACCTAACGCGGATTTTAATTTCGATATTTGACTGTTAAGCTTATTGGTATAGATTTTCATCAACAACTTTAATTTGCAGTTATATTAGTCTGTAATTGCTACACTGCTTAAATCTTTTTGTGGTTTAGATATCTTCAGATACAGTATATGCAACTGTTGAAGTCTGTGTTAAGGGACAGACCACGTTGAAGTGTATTAAGAAAACCTTTTAAGTGGGGTAGAAGTTGTGTAGCAAATGCTTTGTTATACAAGGCTGTAAAGCCATCTGGGCCTGGTGCTTTGGAAGCTTTAGCTTGGTTTATTCTCTTTAGGACCACCCGCCAGCATTGTACTGTGGTCGGACAGTTCCTACAGGCACAGCAATGTACTGGCCTCCTCCAGGTCCAGTGGCATTTTGTCAGAAGGTCTCTGCCAATGATTCATGGCCAGGACCTGCTGGTCAGCTGTGTCCAACCACAGGTCAGAGCCCTGTGTTGACAGGGTAAAATAGACAAAGAGATTTTTAGTAAAAAGCAGCACATAATACAGGTATTAACACTTGTTAGGCATGCACTTAACCCCTTGATTATCCCAATATGTTAAGTACAGTGACAGTGTATAGTTTTATCAAAAATCACTGTATTAGTGTCATTGGTGATGTCAGTGTCAGTTCCCACCCAGTGACAGTTTCAGATTTCCTGCTGCACAGTTCCATTATAAGTCGCTGATCACCACCATTACTAGTTTAAAAAAAAAAAAAATATTTTTGAGTATACATACCACAGATGGTAGAAACTATAATGATCACACAAACCAATAAATGTACACTTATTAAAATTTATTTTACTAAAAGACATGTAGCAAAATACATTTTGGCCTAAATTTATGAAGAAATTAATATTTTTACTTTTTTTATTAGATATGTTTTATAACAGAAAGTAAAAAACAGTGGTTTTTTCAAAATTTTCTGTCTTTTTTTCATTAATATAATAAAATCCCAGTGGTGATCAAATACCACCAAAAGAAAGTTCTATTTTGTGTGAAAAAATATAAATTTTGTTTGGGTACAGAGTTGTATGACCATGCAATTACTTAAACTGCTAAACAGCAAAGAAATGGCCTGGTCATGAAGGGGGTAAAACCTTCCAGAGGTGAAGTTGTTAATTGCTAGTGAAATATCTTAAGCAGTAACTTTATTTTCCATGAGTTCTTTAGGAGTCTCTGATAATGAAGGGATTGGAAGGAGCAAGAGAAATGTGTCTTTTTTTATGCATTTGGACAGCTGTATAGTGTTGAATAGCATGAATGATATGTTCATAAATCTGTCTGGGGGTTCTGTGTGAAGGTTTCCGGAGCTTAGGGGCACCAGTGTATGAGGGATGCAGATTGAGCTTCCTTGTTAGTAGTGTACTGGACAATCAGCTTGTGTGTAAAAAGCTTTGTTTCCGCCTTAGTGTTCTTGTCTAACAGAATCTATTTTCGCCTGAGACAGAGATTAGGATTTTGTTTTTGTAATTGCAATAAATCGTACAAGGCTATCTTTTTTTTTTGTTTAACCTCTCTGGCAGTCTGATTATATCAATATTTTTGAATGCCAAAGCGGTACATTGTTGTGCATGGAAATTTATTTTATATTGTATATCTAGTAAACATCCCAGGTATGATAAAATTCTTTAGAATCATTTGAGATACTTTCAACATTTTCTCACTATCACTAATCGCTCAATTCTGAAAGTGATTCTAATTCACTATCGCTGTTTTCTTGCTGGGCTATAAATCAACTTTTGACCTAAAGGGTTGCTTTTTGGATGCCATGGATGTTCTCAAGTTTCCAGGCAGAAAGAACGGTAAAAGTGTAGGCAGGGCACTGGACAAAGCACTAAGGACAAAACTGAGGTGAAATGGTTTGATACAGTAATGTAATCCTAACAGATTACAATGTATTATGTGTATGTCATGTTTTGTTTACTTTTTTGAATCTCCCGCCAGTTTCGCTCCCCTGTGTTGCAGCGCTTGCGGGGAAGGGAACCTGGAAGACTGATGCCGGAATCGGCCGGAGGACACAGTGGGAGGACATTGGGGGATTGCAAGGACAAGGTAAATTACACTACAGTGTAATCCCGAGTGTGGCTCAGGGTTACCGCTTTTCGTACTGAAAATTAACCCCCGAGCCACACTCGGGATTAACGCTAGGGAGGTTAATGAGCATTTCTATTTTTTTTTTTTGAGCTTTCTTTTGGTGGTATTTGATCACCTGTACGTTTTTAATTTTTTAAAACAAACATTTTTTTTTAAAAAAAAAAGTAAGACAATTTTGAGAAACAACTATATTTTTGACTTTTTGCTATGAAACATGGCCAGTAAAAAAAAAATTAAAAAATCAAATTTCGTCATAAATTTAGGCCAAAATGTAGTCTGCTACATGTCTTTGCTAAAAAAAAAAATCCCAATACGTGTAAATTAATTGGTTTACGTGAGAGTTATAGCGTTTACAAATGGCGGTATAGATACTGGAATTTTTATTTTTTTTTATACTAATAAAAGCGACTTATAGCAGGACTGCAGTGGGCATTCTGACACTTGGGGGAACTGACTTGTTATCAGAGACATGCCCAGTGACACCAATACAGTGATCAGTGCTAAGAAAAAAAAAACAAAACACTGACACTGTACTAATGCAACTGGGCATGGAGGGGTTAACATGAGGGGCGATCAAGGGGGCGGTGTGTTGATGCTTCACTGTAAGCACACCGCACTGGATGGCCGTGCTGTGCACAGCCATCCAGAGCAGTGTGCCCAAGCTGACAGGGCTGGAGATCCTTGGTAATCACCGGGCGCCAGCGGGTAATCACTGGCCAGGACCCGGTGATTGACAGGCATGGCCGCGAATGGCGGTGCGGGTCTATTTCCCAAAGACAACCTTTGGATATGACGCTGAGCACGTGCACTCAACTCGTTTGGTCAACCATGGCGAGGTCTGTTCTGAGTGGAACTAACTGAGTGGCTAACTGTCTGCTGTGTGTGTTTAACATTATGTGCTACAGTAGCACATAATGTTAAACACACACAGCAGACAGTTAGCCACTCAGTTCCACTCAGAACATCGCAGGGTGTTCAAATACTTCTGTTCCTCACTGTATGTGTGTTTTAATATGGAAACATGCCGCTTTGTGTTTCTGTGCAGAGAAATACAAAGCAGCATGTCTTTGCTGACAGCAGAGAGACCTGTGTTGTTTACACACAGGTCTCTCTCCTGTCCGCTTTACCTAACAATCACCGAGTGATTGACATCCCTAGCCGTCAATAGCGGCTCGGGTAGGACAGAAGCACCAAAGAAAAAAAAATGGTTAACAAATACTTTTCTAGAGAATAGGTTCATCACCTAAGGATGCTAGCAAAAAATGGAGTCTCAAAGTGGGTGGGGTTATATATCTATATCCACACCTGGAGTACATCTGTACTCCAGGTGTGGCCATAGCAAGATTTTGCCAGTGTCAAATCACCTGAAGGCACACTATATTGCCAAAAAGTATTGGGACACCTGCCTTTGCACATACAGTACATAAACTCTAATAGCATCCCAGTCTTAGTCCGTAGGGTTCAATATTGAGTTGATCCACCCTTTGCAGCTATAACAGCTTCAACTCTTCTGGGAAGGCTGTCCACAAGGTTTAGGAGTGTTTCTATGGGAATGTTTGAGCATTCTTCCAGAAGCGTATTTGTGAGGTCAGGCGCCAAGTTGGAAGAAGGCCTAGCTAGCAGTCTCCTCACTAATTCATCCCAAAGGTGTTTTATCAGGTTGAGGTCAGGACTCTGTTCAGGCCAATCAAGTTCCTCTGCCCCAAACTCACTTTATGGACCTTGCATTGTGCACTGTGGCACAGTCATGTTGGAACAGGAAGGGGCCATCCCTAAACTGTTCCCACAAAGTTGGGAGCATGAAATTGTCCAAAATGTCTCGATATGCTAACGCCTTAAGAGTTCCCTTCACTGGAACTAAGGGGCCAAGCCCTGAAAAACAACCCTACACTATAACCCCCCTCCACCAAAATTTACACTTGGCACAATGCAGTCAGGCAAGTACCGTTCTCCTGGCAACCACCAAACCCAGACACGTCCATCGGATTGCCAGAGAAGAGTGATTCATCACTCCCGAGAACATGTCTCCACTGCTCTAGAGTTCAGTGATGGCTGGCTTTACACTATTGCATTCAATGCTTTGCATTGCACTTGGTGATGTAAGGCTTGCATGAAGCTGCTTTGCATTGGATACCTATTCCATGAAGCTCTCTGTGCACTGTTGTTGTGCTAATCTGAAGGCCACATGAAGTTTGGAGGTCTTTAGCTATTGACTTTGCAGACAGATGGCGACTTCTGCGCACGGTGTGCTTCAGCATGCGCTGACCCTGCTTTGTTATTTTACGTGGCCTACCACTTCATGGCTGAGTTGCTGTTGTTCCCAGTTGCTTCCACTTTGTTATAATACTGTACGCTTGCTCTTCGACCTCTCCGCTGCCTTTGACAGTTAACCACCCCCTCCTCCTCAAAAAAAAAAACTATTTACTTGGTCTATGTTTACTATTTACCAACTAACTCTTTGTTAGTTCAAATCTTACCTATCTCACCGCAGCTTCAATGTCACTTAGAACTCTTCTTACTCCTCTCCTACTCCTCTTAATGTCGAGGTCCCCCAAGGTTCTCTCCTTGGACCTCTCCTATTCTCAATCTACACTTCTTCCTTGGGTCAGCTGATAGCTTCCAATGGTTTCCAATGCCATTTCTATGCTGACACACAAATGTATCTGTCTACTCCTCAGCTCACCCCATCAGTTTCCTCACGTATCACCGATTTACTAACCAACATATCAGTCTGGATGTCACACCACTTCCTAAAACTCAATTTATCCAAAACTGAGCTTAATATTTCCTTCCCCCATGCCTCTTCCCCTGATTTCTCGGTCAGGACCAATAGCACCACTATCAACCCATCCCTGCATGCCAGGGTGCTAGGTGTAACCCTGGATTCTGAACTATCCTTTCAGGCCCACATCCAATCCCTGTCCAAATCATGCCTCAACCTCCAGAACATCTCAAGAATACACCCCTTTTGAACCAATGATACCACAAAGCTCCTAATTCACTCCCTGGTTACCTCTCATCTCGACTACTGCAACTCCCTCCTTGTTGGCTTACCTTTACATAGGCTATCCCCCCTCCAGTCCATCATGAATACTGCTGCCAGGCTCATCCACGTTACCAACCGTTCAGTGTCTGCTACCCCTCTCTGCCAATCCCTCCATTGGCTTCCACTCCCCCAACAAATAAAAATAAAAAATACTAACAACTTAAAAAAAGCCATTCACAACTCTGCCCCCAGCTACATCACCAACCTGGTCTCAAAATATCAACCAAACTGTTTTCTTCAATCCTCACAATACGTTCTTCTCTCTTAGTTCCTGTGTCACCTCTTCCCATGCTCACCTCCAGGACTTCTCTCGAGCTTTTCCCATCCTACGGAACTCCCTACCCCAATCTGTCCGGATGTCTCCTAGTCTATCCAGCTTTAGACAATCCCTGAAAGCCTTTCTCTTTAAAGAAGCCTATCCTGCTTCTACCTAGTAAACGGCCATTTATTTCCTCCATCAGCTCATCCCCCCCCACAGCTATTACCTTTTGTATCACTGAACCCTTCCTAGATTGTAAGCTCTAACAAGCAGGGCCCTCTGTTTCCTCTTGTACAAAATTGTATTGTAACTGTAATGTCTACCTTCATTTTGTAAAGAGCTGCGCAAACTGTTGGAGCTATATAAATCCTGAATGAATAATAATAATAATACCACTAACAGTTGAATGTGGAATATTTTGTAGCAAGGAAATTTCACGGATGGACTTATTGCACAGATGGCAACCTGTCACGGTACCATGCTTGAATTCACTGAGCTCCTGAGAGTGACCCATTCTTTCACAAATGTTTGTATAAGCAGTCTGTGTGCCTAGATGCTTGATTTTATACACCTGTGGCCATGGAGGTGATTGGAACATCTGAATCCAAGGATTTCGAGGAGCTTGTCCAATACTTTTGGCAATATAAAGTGTAGCTTGTACAGTATATAACCGAAGGTCTATGAACACAAGCCCTGTGTCTTGTACTGCATGATTACGATATAAAAGCTTTCCAGACACAGTCATACACCATGTGAGAGGTGCACTTGTAAGGTCTTTAAGCATAGTAGGAATGACCAATTCCAGAGAATCTAGGGAAAAACATATGCAGCTTCACCTGTATATAACTGTAAAAGTGAATGCAGACTGGATTCATAACAAAGGGCACTGGAGGGATGCATATTAGACAAGAAGAAATGCTTAGAAAGTGCACCTCTGGTCTTTGTCTTTATTCTGGCACAAAATGACATTTTGTCGCCGTGGGAGAAGATGGAAAATTTTAGCATCTAGAAAGATCTGAAAGAGGTTTTCTAGGCGTCATGGCTACCCCTCATGTTCCTAAAACTGGTCAACAACTGGCAGCCCTGTTTTTTTGGCAGGAAAGGAAGCTACAGATCCAAACCTTCATAGATCTGTAACTGCTGGAAATTATATTGATGTTGGTTTTACGTTTTCTTCTAGATATCCCACCCATAGCCCTGAAACTAACTCTCTAAAATGCCCATGCTATTGACACTCTTTTGGCTCAGTTTCTTTTGTTACTGTGTCACTTATTTTGTTGATTGTTGCACTGCAATCAAAATTTTTCATCATTGAGCAACCAATGTTTTTTTTCTTAGACTGTCTTAGCTTCAAACTCATTACCTGCATTATTCCTCATCTAATATGCAAATAATGACTTTAGGCCCTTGGTTTTCTTTCGTATTTGCAATCCTCATTAGTGCTAGTGGTCGTCTCTTCTATTGCAGAAGTTGTGTAGCCTCAATATGCTAAATTTTGCATGTATTTGACAAAACGCAAGCTGAAATGTTAGCTTCTCATAAGGCTTACAAATGTGTCATCAAATTGCTTCCTTGATTCTTCTCTCCTTGTGGTAACCTACCCTTTCTTCACATGAGCCATGAAGAAGTATACTCAAGCTTTTCTCAAGGTTGATTAGGTAATCAAAAATTTGTATCTTTGTACAAAAGAAGGATGGTCCTCTGAGACCCTGTCAGGGATCCTGTCGCCGTGCGACGGATCCCCTCGGGTCGTGGCGGTGCGAGTGCACAGGCACGGGAGCATGTGGGCGGAAACTTGCGCATGCGCAGTAAGCATACACGTCATGCCAGGTGGGCTATTTAAACCTGCAGAACAGCAAAATCAATGCCTTCTGGTCTACAACGTTCCTGCACATATTACCTGATCCTGTTATCTGTATTCTGATTTGCCTGACTAAGAAAGAACTCCGCCTGCACCGACCTCGGCTATCCCTGACCCTACGCTTGCCTGTTCCCTTGTACTTGATCTGCCCGCTTGATACTGACCCGGCTTGTCTGCATCTATTTACCTGCACCTGTACCTGGCTTACATCCTGATGGCTGCCATACTTACCTGCCGCTGCACCCACGATCCTGCATCTGGCTTGCATCCTGACATTTGCAATACTTCCCTGCCACTGCACCCACGGTCCTGCACCTGGCCTGCATCCTGGTCACCGCCATACCTGCCTGCTACTGCATCCACGCTCCAGTGTCCAGTCCCAGTCTGCATCCTGATTGCCGCCACACCTGCCTGCTGCTGCACCTACGTTCCTGCATCCGCACCTGGCCTGCATCCGGATCTCCTGGGTCTCCAGCTACCTGCCGCCAGCTCCAGATCCACCCAGCACTCGTGCCACTCCTGGCTCTGCGCCCTCTGAGCGGGAGTCGTAAGAGGACGCCTTCTCTCCACGTGGGGCCTCTCCTCTGGAAGAAATCTGCCAGCATATTGCGGCATTGACACATGCCGTCAAGGGCCTGCAAGAGGGGTACATGACTGTTTCCAGGCCCTATCTCCACCTGCATCCTCTGCTAGCACCACAGTGACACCCTCTCCAACTGTCACTCCAGGAGCCATGGCGAGCCCTACTGTGATGATGTTGCCCCCTGAGCCTAGGGTACCTACGCCCGAGAGATTTTCTGGCGACCACCACAAATTCAGGGCCTTCTGCAACGCATGTAAACTGTATTTTGCGTTGCAACCCCGCACCTTTTCCTTAGAGGCAACCAAGGTGGGATTTGTGATCTCACTTCTCCAGTGCGAACCACAAGCATGGGCCCACCATTTGCTGGAGAAGGCAGATGCCAAACTGTCCTCTCTAAGCGGTTTCTTTGAAGCTATGGCACAGCTTTATGACGATCCCCAACGATCTGCGTCTGCGGAAGCCGCACTACACTCTCTCCAGCAGGGTCGCAGGGCAGCTGAGGACTATGTAAACGAGTTCCGGTGCTGGAGCGCTGATACCAGTTGGAACGACGCTGCTCTACGTTATCAGTTTCGCTTAGGTCTTGCTGAACCCCTGAAAGATTGGTTAGCTCGAGTCGGAGTACCTAATACATTGGAGAAATTTATCAATCTGGCTATCCAAAATGACCGACTCAGGTAACGAAGGTTGGAAAGATCCGCGGGCCAAGTCGGTGGATGCTACCCAGGGTACCACCCCCAACAAGCATGGCATCAACCAGCCCTGCCACACCCAATTCTGACGGATCTGAGCCCATGCAAATAGGGTTGCTATGAACCACACTCACTCCGGAGGAACGGCAATTCCACCGCTAGAGCAACTAATGCCTCTACTGTGGAGAACTCAGACACTATGAACGGAACTGCCCTGCAAAATCACGTAAGTCTCTGACCACTTTGCCTGATAACATACCCACTGTCTACCCTGCTCATCTCACCATCTCATTTCAGCTTTCGGGAAGAACTTTGCCAGTAACCACTATAATTGATTCTGGGGCCTGCAGTTGCTTCATTGACGCAACTTTTGCTCAGCAACATCAGATACCCTTACAGGCCAAAACTCAGAGACTGACAGTATTTCTGGCTGATGGATCCAACATTAAATCTGGGGCAGTCACACAGGAAACGATCTCAATCCCTGTGATAATATCTCCATCTGGTCACAAGGAACTATTATGCCTGGACATCATTGCATCACCACTATTTTCAGTCATCTTGGGGATCCCATGGTTACAGGCCCATAACCCTGGTGTAAATTGGGTATCTGGTGAAGTGGACTTTAAATCGGCCTACTGCCCAGAGCACTGCTTTCCTCAAGGTCCTGTTCCGTCCGGGCCTCTGTTGTGCATGGAAAGCGATACCGAAGTAGGCTAGATGGTTCCGGCAGCATACCATGACTTCCTAGACGTCTTCAGTAAACGTGGTGCAGACAGCCTTCCACCTCACAGGCCTTACGATTGCCCGATCGAACTGCTACCAGGAGCTGAGATTCCCTTTGGTCGGATCTTTCCGCTATCAGAGCGTGAGTTGGAGGCATTAAAGGACTACATTGACGATAACCTCAAAAAGGGGTTCATATGCCCCTCCAACTCACCAGCTGGGGCAGGAATCTTCTTTGTTGAAAAAAAAGATCACTCCCTCCCTCTGTGTGCACTACCGGGAATTAAATAATATCACGGTAAAGAATAGATATCCTCTGCCACTAATCCCAGAACTCTTCCAGAGGCTCAGAGCGGCGACCGTATTCACCAAACTAGACTTAAGAGGGGCCTACAATCTCGTAAGGATCAGAGAAGGGGATGAGTGGAAAACAGCCTTCTGTACCCAGTTTGGGCACTATGAATATTTAGTTATGCCCTTAGGACTATGCAATGCTCCTGCTACCTTCCAGCATCTAGTGAATGACATCTTCAGGGATTTCTTAGACGTTTTCGTGATCGTGTATCTTGACAACATTCTGATCTGTTCTGCATCCATCGAGCTTCACCGGAGTCATATGCAGAAGGTCCTTGGTCGCCTCCAATTACATGGACTTTATGCTAAACCAGAGAAATGTGAATTTGAACATCAGAGCATTCAGTTCTTGGGACTAATTATATCCACTGAAGGCTTCAAAATGGACCCCCAGAAAGTTTCTTCCATACTGGAATGGCCTGCACCAGCCATTAAAAAAGGAGTACAGCGCTTCATAGGCTTCACCAATTTTTATAGAAGATTCATCAAGGCATTCTCAGCCATCAACACTCCTATCACTCAACTGACCAAACAGGGAATCCGATTCCGTTGGACACCAGAAGCTCAAGATGCTTTTGAATCATTAAAGAGATGTTTTACATCAGCACCCATATTTAAGCCATCCAGATCCAGTACTACCCTTTTTGGTAGAACTAGATGCCTCGGAAAGTGCTGTTTTGGGGCCGTTCTATCGCAGCGACAAGGTCTAAAACTTCTGCTTCACCCTGTTGCTTTCTTTTCCAGGAAATTATCCCTGGCGGAGAGAAATTACGATGTAGGAGACTGGGAATTACTGGCCATCAAATCAGCCTTGGAGGAATGGAGGTACCTGTTAGAGGGAGCAGCACATCCCATCCTAATCTACACCGACCACACGAATCTAGAGTACCTGAAGACGGCAAAACCCTGACAAGCCAGGTGGGCTTACTTCTTTTCTAGATTCAGCTTCTACATCACCTACAGACCAGGCTCCAAGAATGTCAAACCTGATGCACTGTCTAGGATGTTTGATGACCCGAAGGATCCATCTACACCTGATACAGTACTCTCAACAGGTAACTTCTGCCTCTTACAACCTCAGTTTTTCTCGCAGATCCAGCAGGCATCTTTTGGGACTCCATCCCCTCTAGGAATAATCCTGTCCTCCAGAGAAGAATTACTATGGTCAGGAAACAGAATCTTTGCACCTGAAACTACCCGACTGGCAATTTTAGGGCTATGTCATGATCATCCGCTGGCAGGACATTTCGGGGTCCACAAGACCCTAGACTTAGTACAGCGTCTGTTCTGGTGGCCTGAGTGGGAGAAGGATAGCATGGCCTACGTGAACTCCTGTCCCACATGCATCCGGA